CATTTTCTGAGAAAGCTGCCAATTTCCGCGCAAAATTCAATCCCGTTTGTCCTTCCTCTGCACATCAAATTCAATGCCTCCGTTATTATCCTACTCCACCTATCGCTTCTCTTGATCATTTTCCCTTTGACCCTTTCACCTTTCTCATGAAGGACCTTCATTTATGGTGGTTGAGTTGGGATTGATTCAACCTTGCACTGTTTTGCAGCCTCCTTCTTTGACCCGTTTCTTTGTTCTTCAGGTCCCTCATTTTTCTGGGGCGTGAGAACAAAACCCTAGCCACCTGATTTCGAATATTGGGGTTGTGGGTTTTTTCTTCCCCTTCTTCGGAAAAGCAACTGACCGGAGGTTTGGGGACAAACCCATACGATCCAGTTCTTCGAATTCTTTATGCAGAGTAGGAAGCTGTCGCTGGGAATGTCCTGATTCGAAGCGATCGTATGCTTGGATTCTGTTTCTATGGCAGTTCTGTTGGGAGGCCAGGATCTTCAATTCGGAGCTAAATACGAAGAAGGAAGAAAGGGTGGATACACCTAGATGCGGCAAGTCCCTGAAAACCCTGATTTTGACATTCATCGTCCTTGAAAAGGGAATCCCTTTTTTGTTGTTCCATGGATTCAACATTGTCGACCTTGGGTTTGATAATTTTCAGCATCACCTTCAGTATTTATTCTGTTATTGCCGAGTCCCAGGCCCCCTCTACATCAGTATCGCCACGTCCTCCTCCTCGGTCGTCACCTTCACCGCCGCCGTTGCCCCGGCCCCCGCATCCTTGGTCCAGTTTAAAGCCGCCACCTTTGCCTCCGCCGCCTTTGCCCCCTTTAAAGTCGCCACCTCCGACACGGCAACCTCCATTCACGCTCCTGCCATTTCGACGGCCAACTTCGCCCCCTTTAACGCCGCCGCCTCACCAATATCGGCCGCCGCCTTCCCATTCTCAGTCGGCCCATAATCTTTCTCATGCGGACCCAGGACCGAAGGTCGCAAACTCAGCGGGGAACCCCAATCGCTCCCACCATAGGCCTCCCCTGCGGCGAACATCGCAGCGGATGAACGGAGGGAAGAAGATCGGTCTTCTATTTGCGGGTATTGCGGGACTCATGCAGATTGGTGTGATTGGTTTCTTAGTTTTCAAGAGAAGGCAACTTTTAAGGACGAAGGATGCCTTTGAAGTTAGTGCTTGAAAATTTCGGAGCGAAATGTTCTTAGCAATTATTTTCATTGGGCTGGATTGAAATTCTCCAGAGTCTGGCAACAACATCATAGAAAACAAGGATTGAAAGAAACGAATCAAGGAACGAATGCTCGGGTCTCGAATCATTCTGTATATTGGTATTTATAGTTGGCGTTTTCCATGCGTTCCTTCCTACATTTATACTTACTGTCCTTTGTTTCATTACACGGCTCATAGTCTAAAGAAGTCCCCTCTTCCTCTTTGGTTCTATAGTTTTTTATTTTTGCTCTAACATGTTAACTGTACAATGATGCCAGGAAGGTTTGAAGAATTAGCTAGCAATGACAGAATTTGATTTTTTGTTCCCCCATTTTGATGTATCTGCACCTAATTTTATGACTTTATTATACATAGTGATTAAAATTTGGTGTGATCGATCATTTGGTTATTGAACTCACTGACTCTTGCTTTGGTAATGGGCGTGATGTTCTGCTGTTCTATTTTGGCTGAAAAAGCCAAGTACTACTATCAAGATTATTGGTGCTGAATTAGATAGCCGAGATGGAGTATTATATTTATCCAGCGAGGATTCACCATTTGCATTCTAATATTGACTTTTGTGTTTCCTTTTGTCCATTGCTCTCTGCCTGGTTGTCTTTCTGAATGGGAGATTTAAGAGAAATTTATCTAGATGAAGTTGGAGTAGTATTGTTTGTTTGCCCGCAATGTCACAATAATTCTTAAGAAACCAAGTCTTGATGGAATTGCTGTTGAATTCTGAGGCGATAATGTATGTATAAATAACTTGTAAGGACTCAAACCTTTTGCAATACAGCATTTCAAAACCAAACTTCCTGAACTACTTTGGTTGAAATAAGAAATGAAAAAAATAGTGTTATTTTTTGTCTGAATGGTCTATTGTATCTGTATGTGACTTTAACTGGAAATGGACTGTGAATGCCGAGGAAATGCGCATTTTCAGTGCCAGTCTATGACATGACTACTTCCTGAGATTCTTCCGGCCCTGATGAAGCTTTACCTTTTGTAAAATTCTGCTATGGTGGATGAATGTGTGGCTTGTGTTTGGAGTCAAAATTAAAATGACTGGTGGGTGATTGAGTCATCTATAAGATGTACTACTTTGATGGTCAAGCACAAGCATCATGTTTCCGACTGGCTTTTGGGTGTTAGAAGATTGACTGATTATTGTTTTAGTGATGAATCTTAGGTTTAATTAATCTTGTGAAAGCTATCATGAGAGAGATGTGGCATGCATGTATTTTCTTGTACTGATTCAGATTCATGATGTTCTTAATGAAATATAATTTTGAATTGGGTATGAATTCATGCTAGCTTAGGGACAGGTGAGTGAACAGGATAATAGGAGTATATGAATTTACTTTGGTTCAAATGAACTTTTGGCTCCTCTGGTTTCATGCGAGTTTCAAATTAGTCCTCATGATATAAAATCAGACCTTGTTTTATTTTGTGCTTGCCACATAATTTATAGAAAAATAATCCCAAACTCAACAGTTTGTTGAGTTAGATGTTAATTTGCATTTAGACATAGCTTCCAGGTCAAAAATTGTTTGATTTGGTGATGTATTGTATTCAGTTGTGGCGGAGGCAAAATTTGCCCTATTCTATAGAATATAAGGTTACTGTTGTTCGTGAAATTAGAGAAATGAAATTGAAACGTCTGAGACTTAAAAAAAAAAAAACTGATTTCGTATTTAATTCGATGGCCTTTCACTTTATCCAATTTTATAATATTCTTCACCAATTACTGGTCCTTCGGTATCATTTCCTTAATTCGACGATTCATTAACTGCCATTATGTCTCTAACAAGTCGTAGCGTGTCATTTTTCCTTCATGCCTTCTATCTTTGATCGTAATTGTGGAAGAAATACAGAAGCATAATCTGAGAAATTGTTCTCCCTGAAAAATGGTTTGGAAAAGTAGTGTGTGAGAAAATAAAGCATGCGTGTGAGAATATATATATATATATATATATGAGAGTTTTGGACTTAGGTGGTAATTGGGAATGAGGATCTAGAGACTGGGTCATTTAGATGTGTGGTGCTACATTTTAATTTCAAACTTGTGCTGCATATGTGAGCCCTCTAGAATCTTTCCCAAGATTGAAGTGGAGGGTTGTACAATCCTAATTAAGTAATTAACAAAAGAAAATAAAGAGAATAGGGAAAACATTGATTGGAAAGAAAGTTGGCTTTAGGAAAATGTATCATACATTGTGTTGTTGTAGACTAGTCCTTTTCTGAAAAAGAAATGGAAAATACATTTTAAAAAACAGAGATAGGTACATTTCTCAATTTTTTTTAAAGTTTTATTTTATACCAAGGTACCAAACATTGCAATGATGTTATTTAATACTGGGGACTTTGTTTCTTTTCACTATGTTTGCACTTCCACTACAAATTTGAACTATTTAGTTTAAATTTTAATGATACAAATTAATAGGTTAAAGAATATTTTTTATCATTGAATTTTATATGAGATTTTAGTTTGATCTTTTAATTTTATAAAGCATCTTTTTAGTTTTCTAATCCTAATATTATTAGTTTTAAATAATTTTTGTGACAATTATTATTATTTTAAAAAAATTAAACTTAATATATTAACATTTGATAATATTTTGTCAATATTTAAAATTTTAATATAATTTTTTTTTATTATGAAAGTAATAATGTTAAAATTAAATGATTGAAAAAATACTTTATAAAATAAAGGGATTAAAATAAAATTTTGTCTAAAATTAAAGAATTAAAAATATACTTTAACTCAAATTAGTATGTACTTTTAAAAAGTATCTCTAAATCATCTAATTCAGTTTAATGGCATAGATTTGAAATGTTTCCTCCATTGTAATGAAAATCGGATATCCCCCCTTCTGGTTGGGACCAACGGTGTATGGAAATCCTTCAAAGTTTACTGTGATAGTGGCCTAGCACCGAACAGGAACTGTTATGAGATCTAAAATATTATAATTTTTATATAGCAATTCTCTCTTATTTTTTTTAATATATAACTAATAATATTCAAAGTCAAATCAAGATTGCTTGCGCGTTGTACAAGGAGCGAATGTTAATAGTTGAAGCAATGTACATATTTAATTGGTAAAAAAAAATTCGGTGGGCCAACTCACTTAATCCAATTGGTGAGTTTCAACCCATATATATATATATATATATATAACCAATCCATTGGGCCGGTTAACTCATTTGCACATTTTCATGGCTCCATCAAATGAGCGATCCAACGTTATTTTAAGCAACAGAAAATTTGCTTCCAATTACATTTTAATAAGTAACAAACATTGATACAATTATCAAAGCTTCATATAATAAGGATAAAATATTACACTATCATGGGCCAAAAAAAAAACAGAAAAAATAATTTATTTTCTACAAATCACTCTGTAAAAAAAAAAAAATTAACCATGTTCACGAAAATAGATGGTGGGAGACATTTTTCTCTGTGTATATATATGTATGTATATGTATATATGTATATATGCATGTATGTATATGAAGTTAGATAATATTTTTGAATAAGACAGGAATAAATTATAATTGAAGAAAAATATAAAGTAAATTAATGCGGTTTGCTCATTCAAATGGACGGACACTGAAAAGCACAATGCAATAGCAAGTTTTGAAAGTGCAGCATCAAAACCTTCTGTGAGGTCAAGTTGTCCATATAGATGTGATACAGAGAATTTTATGGTAAAGGTACAACATATATATATATATATATATATATTGATAGCACATGTTGTGTTTGGGTCCATAAACATATAGAGAATAAGCAAAAGTTAGAGGCAATTTGAATTGGAAAGCAAAGTGCAGAACTTCACACAAACAACTGAAGTTGCTTCCTTTCTTTAATTTCCCTCCGGTCCACACAACTCAGTCAAACAAAATCAACACACACACAGAGTGTGCGCAAATAGGAGACATGTTTTCTTCAGAGGGAAGCAAGAAAGTATATTTAGATATCAACCTAAAGTAAAGACACAAATCCAAGTGTGGGCCCCCACATTCCTCCATAACAAACATTGCTGCTTTATCAAAGGTAAGCTCCCCTAGCCACCAGACCTTTCATCTTTATCTCTCTCTCTCTCGGCCGTGTCCATTATCATCACGCATGACCAAAACGTCATTCATCTGTAGAGGAAGAAAAGGAAGAGGCTAAATAATACAATTACTTTAAGAAAAATCTTATATTGATGATGGGTTTTCTTTATTAATTTAACTAGAAGGATGGTATTGAATGTAAAAATTGGTTTTTTTTTTTTTTGGTTTGGTTCTATAGAACAGTTAAGAGGTGGGGCATTTAAAGAACTAGCACAGTAATAATGATCATCACCTGTGGGGATTCTGGAGTTGGAAGCGAGATCGAGCCAAGAATCTGTGTTCTTTTGAGTCCACTGATCCCCAAAGAAGTGGTGAAGTGGTCTCTGGGCAGTTTCAGTGCTAGTCTCTTTCTCACTTTTGCTTGGTCTTGGTGATTTGAAGTCGGTTCCTAGAACAAAACAATGTTGCTCTTCTTGTTGCCTTGGATTACTGTCATTATCACTGAGGCTTTGAAACTGCTGCGAGCTTGAATAGGATTTATTGTAGGAGCTCATAGATAATTCGTGGTATGAGTCGTGGAAGCTTCTTGCAGACCCTGAAGCTTCTGGGAAAAATGCCCTTTCGTCCACATGAATATTTCTGCTTGAAAGAATAAAGTCAAAATCAAAAATAAAAAAGAAGGTCACCATCTAACCAAAGAGAAAGAACAAAGTTGCCAACTTTTTTGTTTTACACAAACCTATAGTCTTTTTCATCATGAGAATAAGATCCAGAGTCCAAAAATAGCTGATGGGTAGTGTTGTTTTGAGATGAGAAATCAGAATCAGGAGGTCTCGAAGAGGTTGAATGGGTGTAAAAGAAGGGATTAAGAGAAGAATTTTGGTAAGGATATTGGGATGATGATTCGGAGAATGGGAAAGAGGAAGAAGAGATTGAGGATGTGGCGTTGTTATTGGGGTTGCTGCTCATCATGGAAAGACCTCTGTTAAGGCTATATGGTGAGATTGCTTGCGAGGTGTTTGTGGTAATGCTGCTTGTTGATGAAGGAACTTCCACAGGCTTTCTTGAACGGTTTCTTCCTCTGTGCATGTGTTTTTCACAGTATTTTGAATCTGGATATGCTTCCTTAGAGCATCTCCACTTCTTACCATCTGTTCTTCTGCACCTTCCTGGCTCTGGATCAATTTTTCTCCCAAAACCCATCTCAAAACACCCCCATCCCACTGCATAATAGGCATACAGAAAGTAATATATCAAATAGCATAGAACGAACTATAAGCTTTGAAACAAAAGAAATATGAACTTGCTTCTTCTTCACGTGCTTACCACCCGGATGGTGAGTAAAAAGCCTTGAAGATATTGAAGAGTCTAGGCTTCTTTTGATGGAGTAAATGAGATCAGGTGGGATCGGTGTCCCTGAGACCATGTATTTGAAAACAAGAGCTTGTTGTTCAAGTTCTTGCCACTGAGAAGCTGTGAAAGGAGGCCTATTTCTTGCAGTATTCATCATTCTTGATTCAGACAAAAGAGAGGAATATAAGTTTCTCTTCTACACACTGATGAATAAAGAACAAGAGCTCAACAGGCTTCAAACAAAGACAGAAAAAGATAGAGGATTGGTTCTATAAGTTGGGGCTGATAGTTTTTTTTTTTTTTTCCAAAGGGCAGAATCTTCTTCTGTGCATGGATGATAGATAGAGAGATGGATAAATAGATACCAATGGCTCTGATGATATACTTCTTCTGGCTTTCACTGCCACCTCCTCTTTATTTCTTTATGTGCTGTGAATGAGTGAGGGAGTCTGTTCTTATTATTATGACTGCACCGCCTGCAGCTACTGCTTCTGTTTTTTCTTCTTTCTTTGCAGCTGCCTTTGTTGTCTCTGACATCTTTTGCAGAAATCTATAAACAAATGTACAAAGAAAAATAAAAAAAAATAATTCAAGTGCAGGTTAGTCCATGCACCTTAGGCTCTGCTGTATTGACATCACAGTTATGGAAAATAGTGCCATCTGATATTATCATGTTATTTTGGAACTTATTTTATGGTAAAATTTGTGACACGTCTGACCAAATATTGTCCACTGAAATAATAAATTTTGACCTTTGGCAATATAAACAAAATGTTATCATATAAAAAGTTATACCGTAAAATTGTTAATTATTATCATGAGCAGTGTAACACTGTAATGTAAGCTGCTGAGCTGAAGAACGCCAGTGGTCATAGCAATCTCTTTTGTAATCCGAGGGTATGTGTGGTAACTTTTTGAACAAGAGACAGTCTCGTTCGTGTCATTTTAGATCTTTTTTGGCTTAGTATGTGTGGCATGATCTGGTTGATGGATATTGAAAGCCTTAGAGCTATAGCTGAAACCTGCTTTATTATTTTTTTTCTCTGGTACGGATTTGATGCTTTCGCTTTTTACTTTAACTTTTCTCACTTTCATCATCTATGTAGATATTGGGTTACAGTCAATTTGGCCTCTTTGGGTACCATCATCATAACCCTTTTCAAATGTTTGCCCATTAAATGATTACCACAAGAGGAAGCTTGACACATCACACTTCCTTTAGCCCTTGATATTATATAATTAGTAGTTAAAGGTACTCATTGAAGGATGATTAAGAAATATTCTCTTGGAAGTTTAAACTCCCATCGTGTGGTAAATAATCAAGAAAGCCATTGCATGCTTGATAATCTTTTTCCAAAGGAAGCAGGGGTCTTCCTCTTAAAAAGAACTTAAAAAATAGACTTACTAGTAACTTCATCATAAACTAGCATGAGTTTTTTTTTTTTTGTTAATTATTCTTCTTCTCTTATTTTGCGTGAATAGTGGAGGTAGAGAGACAGTGCAGGGAAAAGACTATTGGGTACAGGGAGGTTCGGACTTGTTTGCTTGCAATTCAAAGCACTTGTCTTTCTCTCTGGCAAGTTGTCAGGAAAGTGCACTCTGAGGTTAAAACTGTTCACACACTCTGTTGCTCTGCCCCATAACACATGCTCTCCCTCCTTTACTAATGTGCCACACCTAACTCGCCCCTTTCATTCATTTCCATTTCCTTTGAGCACATCTCTTTCCCATTACTATTACTGTATACTAGTCCCCCTCATCACCTATCTTCCTTCTGAAGAAGCATTTGCTGCCTCACTGACTCTCTGCAGCTTCACAGCAGCTCTATGCCTCACCTGGGATCTTTTCCCCTTTTTTTTTTTAGGGTTTTGACTGTTTTCTGACTAGTCTATATACACTTCCTGACTTGTATGATTTGATTAGCATAATTCATTACGAACTGGGTTTCACCAAAACCAGACTAGTCTATGTTGGGTTTTTCTTAACTTGTCTACAAACTCAAAGAACAATTGTCACTCAAAATATATCTCAGATACTGGGATTTTCTCTTTTTACGGGATTCAAACTTGGAAAATTTTTTTGCACATGTAGTGGTGGTCTATTTACATTACATGCAACCATCAAAGTTTAATCGCTTTGATTCATACATGCGGAGTCCCCACACATAAACCCACATGTATATGCATGCATGTATATCATATGTGGACAAGAATTGGTCTTCTGTAGTCTGCATGCTTTTCCTGGCTTGTATGATGTTTTTTAAACATAACTTGTTATGAAATGGGTTTGATCACAATCAGACTTGTCGGTACTGTCATGTTCTGATTTAATGTCTAGAGAAAAATAAAACGAATATTATTGTAAAGGAATATTCAGATAGAAATATGAGAGCATGGGCGTGGAAGTACCAAGACTGCAAATCTGCAATATTTGCGAGGTTGATATGTCTCATTAAGACAATGATTTGTTTAGGTAGCTAGGTAATTAGTATCACATCTATAGATTAGACTAGATGAGTGAGCCAGCAATGAATATGTTTAATATGGTAGGTACTGTCTCTGAATCTTGTAAGACAAACCCATTCGTGAGTATAGATCAAAAACAACATGGTAGGCACTAATCCAAAATTGCTTTTTTGAGTAAAATGCAATAGAAATTATTTTTGAAGATCAATAATAGAGGCAAATTTCATGGATATATAATAATGGCATGCCCGGCACATTATTACTACTGTGTATGATAACCGTCAAGATTATTTCATTCAAGATTTTAAATACTCACTTCATTTAAAAATATAAGACATTTTTAATTAAATCTCATTTAATAAAGTAGTTATTTACTTTTAAATTAAACATATCTTTTTATATTTACCCCCTATTAAACATCTTATAATAAATATAAAGTCATTCATTAATAGAGGCACTTAAAAAGAAAAACAATGATTACATCTCAAAAAGACTAAAAATGTCTTACATTTTTTAACATACAACTCCTCAAAAATGTGTTATATTTTTTAACGGAGAAAGTACTTTATATTCATGTGTTCATATATTTGATAAAATAAATGGCACAAAGGAATCGAATACACTGTATGCATTTATTATGAATGTAGAGGATCCAAATTTTTACTCCATCTCATGTAAGTATACCACATTGAGCCAAACAAAATTGGTTTGTGTGGAATTTTACATAATCAATACAAATGATCGTTCATAAATTTGAGAAAAATCTTATATACGGCTGTGAGATACTGAGTATTTTTGAAGATGGAGGATTAAACCAGAACCTGTAACAGGCGTAGATGAATATATAACCCTTGTTCACCATAAGAAAAAGCTAAACCCTCCGGCCACAAAACAGCAAATTTATATGTATTATGTACTTCTTCCATTGCCTTGCTATTTGATATTCTAAAGTCTAAACTTGATTTTATCATCTATTGTGTAATTTATATTTCATTTTGGTTTAAAAAGCCAAGCCACCATGGGAAGAAGCTCTGTATTGAATCTCGATGCATAATTATTTGCAGCCTTTAAAGGGGACCTTCTCTATCTAGCTAGCTACACCAATTGAGGATTGATTCTTTTGTTTGGTTCTCAAGACTTGAAGGTGTCTCTTTGCATTTTTCTAGTAAGCCTATACTGACCAAATGACTTGGGGCCTTATAGGAGTGAACCCTAAACCTGGAAAGCCTTGACTGACTCAAGGAAGGAAGCTAGTTCAATTAGTTTGGAGGAATAAAGTTTTGAATTCTCAACTAGGGTTTGATTCTTGTTGGCAAAAAAAAAAAAATTGGGGTTTGATTCTTATTATGAAACATCTTGGACAAACTTCAAATATATTCAACCAATATAAAAGTAATTCAGATTTTGTACATTCCTTACTTGATGTGATCAATGTAGATTTTATTTAGATCATTTAGATTTAATTTGTACTTTTTTAATTTATTATTTTTACTTTGTTGTCTGAATTATAATTTTTTTTAGAATTGATAGTTGAAAAGCATTTTTTTTATTTTTTATTTTGCATCTTGCTTCCTTTTTAATAGAAAAGTAACGATCCAGACCATCCAAATCAGATCAGTCCAAAAAAAGAGATGAACGATATGTGCACCAAGTTTATTCTCAGATGTAAAGGTACTCCGTAAGAGGATTTACATTGGACAAAGGCAAGGACCATTATACTGAAAGAAAAGAGAAAAAGAGAGAGAGAGAGAATTTTGTTCATGTAATAGGGGAATATTGATGGTGTATGAGTATATTTTTATTATTGTCTTCCATTTTTTGCAAGAACACCTGTACTTTGTTCTCTATTTAGGGCTCACTGAAATACGACCCCAACTTCTATTTTCATCTTCTTTTTCTTTTTTTTTCCTTTTTTTTCACTTATAAAAAGAAATAGAAAAGCAACATGGTTGTACGCACATTTGAAACTGTGTGACTGCAGAATATGGAGGACAACAGCTAAAATGTGAGCATAATGCAGAACAATCATTCATTTTACATCAGAGTCATTTTGACCAGTTATTGTCCAATGAATTATTAAATTCCGTCAGAAGCTTGCTCATATGTGAAACATGTACAATTTTTATAATAAAATAATTAACAAAAAACCTCAAGCCTTGTTATCACCAAGTCACCGGGGAGCTCTCCACAAAATATTAATATATGTATGCAAAGGAAAAGGGGGCATCTATTAGAAGTTTGAACTTAATAACAGAATTATAATTCTTTAAGCTGTAGCATCACTTACCCTTTAAATCCAATCCATTTACTACCACTGAAAGAAAAATTGGATGATATTTATCTGCACGACATTATATCACTAATGCAAACACAGAGTTTTAACCACAAATTTTTCTCTACAGTTTATTAAATAATCGGAGTGATATTAGACTTGATGGCAAATATGTTAATAAGTTAAAAATGTAGCATTTATGGCCATAATCCCATAAAGCACTGTCATCATAAATGCCTGAGTGACAATTAACAAAATTAAATAAACTAATAAAACTAATTAATTAAAATACATTTTTTAATTATGTATGAATTAGAAAAAATTAATTAAATCTAATAAAACTTAATAAATTGACTAATTAAATTAAGTTATTAATATAATTTTAATGTTTTTAAATTAAACTAAGTTATGTAATAAGTTTTAGCTGAGGCATAATCCCTCAGATGTTAAAACAAAAATTAGCTAAGGGGTAAACCTCTCAACTATTAAAAAATTTATTACATAACTTATGGCGACTAGTCTGAGGTGGAATTGTCAACATAATTTCAAGGTTTTAAAAAATTAAGTTGAGCGGTAAATCTTTGATTATTAAAAAAAATTATTACATGACGACAAGTCTAAGCTTAAAATTTAAAAATTTAGTTGAGAGTTAAAAAAACCCACAACTTTTGATTTACAGTGATAGATCTCAAGAGGACTTGTCACTATAAATTATTTATCTCTAGGACTTGTTGCTGTAAATACCACTTAGCTATTAAAAAAAATTAACTGAGGGGTAAATCCTTTAGGTAATTTAAAAAAATTACATATTTATGACGACAAGTTCATCATAAGTTACCTAAAATTTTAAAATAAGTAATCACCTTAATTATTTATTAAAAATTTAGTTGATTTACAGTAACAAGTTCTCCTCGGACTTGTTGCTGTAAATGAAAAGTTGAGGGTTTAAAACCCTTAGATGTTAGGTTATGTAAAAAAATTTGTGCACCTTTTTCCTTGGGTCTATCATCGCCACCATCAACTTTGCTCTCTTTAGGATTTTCTTTCAGCTCATCATATGCTCCCTTTACCCACAACTCCTCCCACATCTTGATCCTCAAGCTCTTTGGCCCCATCTCTCGACCTCCATAGCCTTTTGCCCTTAGCTCTTCCCTTTGCTCTCATCGCTATCGCCTCCTAGCTCCTTCACCCACAGCTCATCGGCCAAGCTTCAACTCCACCCTCAAGCTTGTTGCCCATAGCTCTTGCTTGCCTTTAGCTCACGTGGTCACCGCTACCTCTTTTAGCTCGCGTGTCCAACCTTCACGTGTCCTCCTTCAGCTCCAAGTTTTTATTATTATTGTTTGGCTACTTTTTTTTTTTTCATTTTTTAGCTTTTTTTGGCATATTTTACCTTAATTTTTTTGTTCATTTTTTAAAATTCATTTTTATTTTTCTAATTATAATTAATTTTTTTATTTTTTTATTATAATTTAGTTAAAAATAATTATTAGTTGCCATGCATTAGATTTAATTAACTAAAATTAAATTGTTCTGTTATTGAAATTGCTGATGCATTAGAAATAAATAACTGAATTTATGGCTTTAGATCTTGGGAAATTTCTATTTAAATGTTGTCATGTTGTGAATTTTTTTAAATTTCAAAACATAAATTATTTGATTAAAGCATAATTTTTATTCGTTAATTGTACGGTTGATTACATTGGATAAATAGATTATATCATGCACTGGATTTAATTTTCTAAAATTGGTGATTTATTGAAAAACCAATAGGCTAAATTGGAGGGTTTAGTATTTAAGGAATCTCGATTCATCAATGATTTTTTATTCTCTACGAATCCATTTTTCACCACAGGTCACTTTGAAAACTATGGCAAAAAATAACATTTTTTACCATAGTTTCCAGATTGACCTGTGGCGAAAAGTCTCAATTTTTTACAACATAATCTTCTATTACACTATCTTTTGTTGTAAAAAATTGA